GATTGTCTGATTGCATACAAAATGCTGTTTGCCTTTTTGACAATACTATGGATATGGTCAGCCCACTTGAGTTCGGATGATATTAAGACACCTAAATCCTTGTGTGAGTTAACTGACTGTACTGTTGAATTTCCAATTTTATACATTTCTCTGGGATTGTTTCGACCTAGATGCAAAACTGTGCACTTAGAAGGATTAAGTCTTATAACCCAATTTTTTGTCCACTCCTGTATACGCTCTAAGTCTTCTCTTAAGGTTCCCTGGTTCAATAGAGGATTTCCGAAGTATTTCACATCATCAGCAAAGAAACAGGCTTCTGAGTGTATTATAGAACTCAGATCAGCAACAAAAATGCCAAAGAGGGTAGGCGCGAGTACAGATCCTTGTGGCACTCCACTGAAGACGTCTTTAGGTTGCGAATATACATTTCCAACTCTTACTTGAAAGGTTCTTCCACTCAGATAATTTGTGATCCATTTCAGGTTTCCTCGGGTACCCAGATGTTCCAATTTAACCAAAAGACGTATGCAGACCTTTTCTATCAAAAGGTTTAAATTATTTATAAAGCAAAAATTGTCTAGTAAGGGTTATTGTACTACTAAAGAGTACATGACTGATAATAACACCTGGGAATGAGGTAATCACTACCATGCTGTTTCTAAATGTTTTCATAACAATTGTATAAAATATTATGCCTCCTCTACACTACTCGCGAAGTAGATCGAAGTTGGACGAGGCGAATAGTGTAGAGAGGTACCTACTTCGATTCACTTCGTCCAACCTCGCTTCGCCTCGGGCGACTTCCGATTGCTGTCGGTTTTTTGCGCCAGAGTTAAAGGACTTCGCGAAGTACCCCGAAGTTATACTAAGCGTCTCACTACACTACTTACGCTTACGGCTTACTGGCTTACGCCAGTTATGAATATTTTTGTTATATATATAAATACTAGCTGTGCCCCGCGGTTTCACCCGCGTCATCATGTGTCGGAGGTACGCGAAATGATCTAGTTCAAGCATTTTATAATTGCAATTAAATATTTTATTTGATAGCAATGGATGGAAAAATTGGCTTAATTAAAGGAGTACTTTTATCTGTCGGCATATTATGTATGATGTAGAGCGAAGTTAAGTTTTATCCACTTTACCTCCCCCTCCGGGTTGAGTGTCTTCCCTCCTCCTCCCGGTTGAGCATCCTCACCTCCACCCCACGTCCCAGAAAGTGTCACGAAGCGCGGTTTTATCCAGTTTTAAAGAAAACCGTACACGATACATGAAAAGTGTGTAGGCATGAAATGATTGTTGAGCTATCAAACTCCTATACTTATTAATCAATAATATTTTCAAAATACCATAGCAACGTGAAGTGAAAGAGTTCAGAAATAAAAATGTAACTAATCATTGTCATAAAAGTACTCAATTCATTTTTAATTTATTTTAGCTATAATGATTGAACTAACCTCGCTCTTAGAAGCTTTCTATACTGGCTTCTCACAGTTCTTACCGGGCGGCTAGGGTTTATTCGTCGTTCGCGCGCCCAGCCAAGTATTGAATTATTTTAATTTTACATTATCTTTTAAACTATGCGTTCAAATAACATGGTATAAGGAACAAAGTTTATCTTCATAAAATTGTCTTGATGATGAAGTAACTTTCGTTCGTAAGGATAAATAGGCCATGCCTAATAATAACGCTCATAAATCACTTTTAAATTTTCAATATTTTTTGTCACAAAATACCTAATTATGGCTTATGTATAAGAAATAGACATATGGTATTGTGTACTTTTTTAGATGGAGTAAAGATCTATATTTTTCTAGAACATTGTATTTACGTATCCCTAACGATAACACCAGCGTACGCGGATAAATCATTTCGGGAGTGCTTTTTCTTTTGACTTGCTTAACAAATATCCATATTTAAGGTTAGCTGAGTAATTTAGTTTAATGCTAGATAGCCTATATTACACATGAATCTGGCTATAATATACAAAAATAATTTTTCAAATCGGACTGGTAGTTCCAGAGATTAGCGCGTTTAAACAAACAAGAAAACAAAAAAAAGCTCTTAAGCTTTATTATATTATTATTATTATTATTATTATAGTATAGATTAAATATGTAGCTTTCTACATAATTATTTATTTAGTTAACGCAATGACGTCGTACTGTTCACACAATAGGTACCTATAGCAGCTGCCTCTTGAACGTCATTCATGTTAAGGGTGCGGGAGACTCAAGACGACTGAGCTCTTCGCGAAGTAGAATGTGTGTGGTCACGTTCTTCGGACTGCGATCGACTTCGACGAGCACTTTGTCGAAGTTACTTCGCGAGTAGTGTAGAGGAAGCATTATATTGTATATTGTGTTTTTTAAAAAAAAGGCCGTTTCTTGCTGGTTCTTCCCAGGACAGAGATTTTTTTGGCGAACCAGTGGTAAAAGTAAAAAATGACTTTCAATAAGTATTATGTACTATTTGACCTATATTGAATAAAAATTATTCTATTCTATTCTACGGAACCCTAAAAATGAAAAATATTGTAGCCTATGTCACTCCCACAATTAAGACGAATCTAACGACTGCTCATAATTCAAGCCGCTTAGAATACAGTGCGTGAAAGAAATGAACATATGTACACATATATAAATACTCTCGAAAAACATTACCCTCCTTCTGGGGTAGTCGGGTAAAAACTACTTACCGCTTAGCCATAATATCAGGCTACTTTAGGTCTTAATTTGAATAGTAGCCAAATTCAACATTTAATACACAAATTTATGGTTATTGTGTTTGCTAGCATATTGCTGCTACTTCATGTTGGTATTCAGTACATGCGTGATCTTCCCCGGTCGAACCGACCCATTAATGCTGTTATTAATACATTTTATATCATAATTTACACTGTAGAATGGCTCTACCACTTACAAAACATGTTATTAATAATGATTTACAAGAAATATTGTAATGCTTGTAATTCAAATATTAAACATTGCTTAGTTGGAAATGTATGATCAGTAAATTAAACTAAAAAAATATATTGGTCGTTATATATATCGTTTATATGTGTATATTTGTGACTAAATTATTTATTTATTATTTTTATTAATTTTGTATGTGGTAGAGTAGAGCCATCCTACAGCCATATTAATAGTACAGTTGTAGCACGAATGGGTCGGCTCGACCGGAGTAGTACCACGCTCTCACATATTACTAGCGTATAATAGCAGCTTAATGCTGCTGTGTTTCGTTTGGTGAGTGCAGAGAACCGGAGACCCTTTTTACTGGAAAAGAGGCATTCCATCTTAGTTCTCCCGCCTGACAACGCATCTGCATTGTATACGCGAACGAGGATAGCTGTAGATGTCTATGGGCCACAGCAACCACTTACCATCAGGTAGACTGTGTGCTTCCTCGTCACCTTTATCCTATAAAAAAATGAATTGAATAAAAGTTTTTCATGAATTAAATTTCATATTTGTATATTTGAACGCAGTTAGATGATGCAGCTTCCTTTCGCCTGCTCCCGGACGTGCCGTCGGCCGCTTCCCGCTTCGTTATAAAATCAATAGCATTAGTAAGTTCGCACAAACGAATTATACGGACCTCGTTAGTGTGCGTCGCCGTTTCTGGTGTGCGGAAAACAAAAAAAAACACGAGTGAAATTCTTGTAATAAAAATCAATCGGAGCGGAGAGAAGGCGCCGGGAGGGGCGCCGACTGGTCGGGCGCTAAGAGGGCCTCCCTCCGCTTCCTCCAGAATACCTACACGTATAATGTATAGTATATACTGTAATCTGTGACTTCTCTTCCCAAGCGACTTATAATGCTATTTTTAACTCGAATGTTAAATAAAGTTGTCCAAAGTTTAGAATTTGAGAGTTGGTAACTTAAAAATGAATTATTCTAGTTGGGTTTTTAAATTAAACGTAATAATAACAGGAGGTGAGGCGGCTAGCGTCGGGGCAGACGGCGCTCGGCCGGTTCCCGGCAAAAAGGCGTTTGTTTTTATTTCTTTGGCGCGGGAAAAAAATCAGCACGCGCCCGCCCTGCACCTCCTAAACATGCGCCACGCAGCGACGCAGACTCCGCCGGGTGTGTGCCGAATTCACTTTCATTTGCGACATCCCATCTCTCGAAGGTCACCGTGCAGTTTCCAGGATAAGTTCGGTGCATGTGAACCGGGCGGGTGCTTTCGGCGGCCTCCGCTGGCCGACTAGGTGAGTTGACTGATCCCGCGTTCGTCTACGTCGATTACGCTTTCCTCACGTTTATCGCCTCCGTTTTACATCGTCTTTCGCTCGTAAGACGTAAAAGTGAACGTGTTTTGGCGCGACGCCGGCCCGCGCAGACGTACCGTCCAACCGCCGTATGCTCCGGTAATGTTATGTACAAGACGTGAGCAACCGCGAGAGGGTTAACCGCGCAAACTTTACATTCACTAGCCTCCACCTCCTCCAGGTGCCACCGTACGAATTTAAACGCTAGCACGATGTTACAGAGTCCTTTATTCGCTGTTATAGAATAGTGAGAGTGATAAACTTTTGAATACGCGGGAATTTTGTGCTTTACAAAGTTTCCGATGAACTTAATCCGGTAGCGATGTCATATTGGTGTGCGGGGATATAAATAAAATTAAAAAAGCTCACGACGGGCATCGTCGGAGGGCAGAAAGAGAGGGAACCAACTTTGCACTCTTCATTTGTGCACCAATCGAGAAAAAATTCAATAAAGCCCGCTTCCTTTTGTCTAATTGCCTACGTAAACCTACCTACTTATAATACGCTGACTGTTCGTTCCCCGCGACAATCCGAGAAAAAAATGGAGCATTGCGTTGTTGTTTCTTCGCTTAGGGACGGCTGTTTAAGTAAATTTCTAGTTATTAATTTAGTTTCTAAAAACATAACAAAAGTAATTAAATATATTTCATTCATAATTATAAAAAAAACTTTAATAAAAGTGCTGTGAAGTGGTTTATATAATTTACTTATTATTGTGCACCAGGAAATGCCTGGCTACGGACCATCTCAAGTAAAATGCGAACCCCAATCTGATGGAGAAGAAAGCAATTCCCAGTTCACACATGGTTATCTGTCACATCAGGTATGTAATATTTGTTTAACTAAGAAAACTACATATTTAGTAAATAAATATAAATTACAAATGGAAAGTGACAAGTGGCAACACATACTTACAAAGATAATATAAATATAATCAATATTAAAACTGAAACTAAATATATAATTTTAAATACAAGATTGTTATTATATAAAGTGTTAAAATTAATTAGTTGAGATCCTATTAATTTTAACATCTTTAATTTATTGTATTTCCGCAAAGTTACGACTAAATTTAAAAGGCCTGCAACGCATTTGCAATTCCCCTTGTATTGCGGTTGTTCATGGTTGTTCAGGCGGCGGTAGTCATTTACCATCAGGTGAGCCGCATGCTCGTTTGCCCCCTCTTCTATATAAAAAAAAACATTACAAATAGACCAAAATATGTAATATTAATTTTTGGCACTAACCACTTTTGATAAGAGTTTTTTGAATCTTCATCTATCTCCTCTTACCTATGTATTTCTGCCTCCAAATAACAGTGTTCATGCTACTGTGCTCCAGTCGGAAGGGTATAGAGAATCAGTATGGTTGCAGGCTGTATGAGATGACAACTTATCTGTAGCCCACTTTGTTGGTAGTTGGAAAAAAAAACAAGGCGTCCACAAGGTGGCGTGTTGTATCCTTACCTGTTTGCAATTTTTAACAAGGCGTCCACAAGGTGGCGTGTTGTATCCTTACCTGTTTGCAATTTTTATAAATTCCATAAGTAATCAACTGTCTTCTTTTTACCACTTGTATGCTGAAGATCTCCAATACAAATGCCGCCATTACATTAGATTTGATAAACAACAAGTTCTCGCGAAAGAACATCGATTCCTGCCAAGGACGCTATTGAAATTAAAAAACATCCTAATTTCAATAGAGAGGGAGGCTGGGTACTGCCACCTGCTTGGGGTCCTGTAATTCATAAAATTAAAACTAAACCCAAGCATACCACTGCAAGACTTCAAGGCACAGTTAGTTCATTCTGCGTAGATCGGACCAAAATTAATAATTAAAAAGCTGAAGGTACTCCGGGTTAACTTTGACATCGGGACGTCAATCACCTCAGTCCCCCGTGACCACGGTTGCTGGAAAGCAACCGAAACGTCGGGAATATAAAATAAATTAATTAAACGCGATAGAATCCGTAAAAATAGTTTTATTCAACAAATGTACACTCAATCTTCTGTGCAAGATTAACCGAAAGCCGTTGATACAACGGACACTAATCTAATTTATATTTTAGACTGGTCTAAATCCATATAAACTATCCATTAAGCATATTGGTACTTCTAGATTAGTTGCTAAGGTTGACTCTTCTCTCATACCACCTATTCTACTCAATGATATTCACATCCCTTTTAGTGATAAAGTTAAGAATTTAGGAATATATATAGACTTCTGTCTAACATGGTCACCACAGCTTAAGGAAGTAAGTAGAAAAATATTTGCAGCGCTAAGCTCTCTGCGGAGACTTAGAAATTTTCTTCCGACTGCCACTAAAGTTGCGCTTGCGGAATCCTTAGTTCTGCATATTTTTGACTATGCTGATATTTGCTATCTGGACATTACCGCAGTGGAGTTAATTAAGCTTGAGTGAATTCAAAATTTATGCTTATGATTCATATTTGGACTCCGTAAATATGATCACATTTCGGAATTTCGTAAACGTGTCAAGTGGCTGCCGATTCTCCTTCACAGGAATACTCACATCCTTTCTGTTTTATGCTGCATACTGTTCAATCCCTCCACTCCACGCTTTGAGTTCATCTCTTCCACTCAAGATCGTCATCTACGTTCCACTAACAATCTTTTACTTCGTATGTCGGCACATTCATAATCTTTCTGCAATAAATCATTTTCGGTTACAATGGTACACTTGTGGAACTCCTTGCCTTTATATATTCGACATACTCAGTCCCTTTTTTCCTTAAAAATCTACTCAAAGCTTTTTTTTTATATGAGGAAATGCCTCTGCATACCCGCTCCGCGGGGGTAAGGACGGGTTATATCGGACTCGCACCGACTAAAACCCCATGGTGTTCCGCCTTCGCCACATATTGGCAGGGCGCATATTAGAACAGCTCTATGAATAAGTTTAATAATACTAGGTAATTCTCCCCATTGTACTTTCCGTCTTTTATTGTATCTATGATACCTCAAACAGAATCATCTTGCGTTTCTTTCTTTTTTTTAATTGTTTAATTTATGTACACCTTCCCAACAGTTGTTTGGGCAAAAGGGTTGTATGGAAGATATTGCTTCCAGAGCGATATTACCGCCTATTGTACCTTCTATATAATTTATTTAATTTTGTTTTCGTTTTAATGTGTATTAGTGTACAATAAATATTATATTGATTGATTGATACATATATCATACGCTCGTTTCTCTTCCTCTTACATCAAGTTACTTTCACAACACAAACAACCAAACTCTACGCAGAGTGAACTTAGAAACTAAACTAGTAGGTAAGTTTGTGCCAATTGACACAAACTTGAATAACAAAAATAGTGATAGCCAGTCTCTATAAACCCTCGTTGTCTTTGTTTCCAGCATTTTTATACTGTACTATAATAATAATAACTTATTTCAGCTCTCCTCATCAGAACTGCTTGCGGTTAAAGTGGAAGCTATCGACGAGGTCGAGCAAAATGTATCATCACATATTTTACATCACTTACAGGTATTGCTTTCACTATAGAGTTTGATTTCAATTAAATAAAAAAGAAAATCGCTCAGGTACATATGCATACTCAGTGTTCCGTGCCGCCAATAATTTGGAAACATTATTAAAGAAAATGTTTACTTAATAAAATAAAAATAAAACATAGAGGTTTACTACTACGGGGTGTTGGTACTAGGTAATAGGAAATAGTTTTATTAAAAACAGTAATGATTATATTCTCTAAATAATAGGGACAAGCACAAGTCAGTTATACCAGTTCCTCGACTGCAAAGAGTGCGTAAGTCCTTCATGGGCAATGTATACGCTTTTTTTTTTATTTTTTTTTTATAGGAGAGGGGGCAAACGAGCATGCGGCTCACCTGATGGTAAGTGACTACCGCCGCCCATGAACAACCGCAACACCAGGGGAATTGCAGATGCGTTGCCGGCCTTTTAAAAAGGAGTAGGCTCTTTTCTTGAAGGTCCCTAAGTCGTATCGGTCCGGAAAAATCGCTGGTGGTAAACTATTCCACAAGGAAGTTGTGCGAGGAAGAAAACATCTTCTAAATCGCACAGTGGTGGACCGCCAATCATCCAGATGGTGTGGATGGTATCGGGAGTTCTGCCGCAATGTGCGTTCGTGAAATTTGGCGGCTGGGATTAATCCGAACAATTCCTCAGAGCACTCCCCATGGTAAATGCGAAAGAAAATGCTAAGAGATGCAACATCTCTTCGCAGTGCCAATGAGTCGAGCCGATCGGAAAGGACTTGGTCGTCGACGATTCGAGCCGCTCTGCGCTGGATGCGGTCAAGTGGAAGAAGCTGGCACTGGGGAGCCCCAGCCCAGAGATGGGAACAGTATTCCATGTGAGGCCGAACCTGCGCCTTGTAAAGTTGCAGGCGTTGAGCCGGCATGAAATACTGTCCCGCTCTGCTGAGCACGCCAAGCTTTTTAGAGGCCAATTTGGCCTTCGCTTCCAAGTGACCACGAAACTGCACGCTACTCGATATGTCGACGCCGAGGATTCCGATACTGGCTGAGGCAACAAGGGGAGTACCTTGTAACTGAGGAGATACGACAAAGGGGTTCTTTTTAGCGGTAAACGCGCAAACTTGTGTCTTCTGAGGATTAAACTGGACTAGATTTAGTCGCCCCCAATCCGAGACTTTGTCCAGCAAAGACTCGACTTCAGACACAAGTTTGTTCCGGTACTCGGTGACGTTTTCCCGAGAAATATTGGCACGGCCGGTGTATAGAGCATCACCAGTGCTGTCATCTGCATAGCAATGAATGCTACCAGCTTGCAACATATCATTGATATGCAGAAGAAACAGCGTTGGTGATAGCACGCAGCCTTGTGGAAAACCAGCGTTAATAGGCTTGTAGTCGGAGCATGCACCGTCTACAACGACCTTGATGCTCCGATCTGCAAGAAAGCTGGTGATCCAATTGCATAATTTCTCGGGAAGCCCATAGGAAGGGAGCTTCGAAAGAAGCGCTTTGTGCCAAACCCGATCGAAGGCCTTCGCAATGTCCAAACTAACGGCCAATGCCTCCCCCTTGGACTCTACTGCCAACGCCCATCTATGACTTAAGTAGACCAGAAGATCACCAGCTGATCGACACCGACGAAAACCGTACTGGCGGTCACTAATCAGCTGGTGATCCTCAAGGTACCGCATGAGGTGGCAGTTTACAACGGATTCCATTATTTTGGAGAACAAGGGGGTGATGGCGATAGGCCTGTAGTTGGACGGATCTGAGCGGTCGCCTTTTTTAGGGATCGGGTGGACAAAAGCTGTCTTCCATGATTTCGGGACTACGCCTAGGGAGTAGGAGTACCGGAAAAGACGCGTTAGAACCGGTGTCAACTCCGGAGCACACGTCCTCAGCACAATTGGGGGGATTCCGTCAGGCCCACTCGACTTGTGGATGTCAAGGGAGAGGAGTGCTCTGCGAACCGAGCGCTGTGAGAATCGCACATCCGGCATGGAGCACTCACACCGCGGGATGGTCGGCGGTGTTTTCCCCCCGTCATCAAGAGTCGAGTTGGACGCAAAAAGGGAGCCTAAAATGTCGGCCTTCTCTTTTGCGTTGTGGGCCAGTGAGTCGTCCTCCCTGTGCAGAGATGGTAGTGATGGCTTACAGAAATTCCCTTGGACAGCCTTGGCGAGAGACCAGAATGCACGGGTTCCCGAAGGAAGGCGAACTAGTTTCTCGCCAATTCTGCCTACGTGCTCTGACTTTGCCTTGGCAATAACTCTTTTGAAGGACCTGGAGGCGAAGTTATACTTCTTTTTGAGTGTGCTGGTGTTTACATCCCGAGTCACCGAAGCCGCAGCCCAGGCTTGATAACACTCCTGCTTACTGCGTAATGCAGTCTTACAGGAGCGACCAAACCAAGGCTGAGATCTGCCTCCGATGTGTACCACAGATGATGGAATAAATAGTTCCATTCCCTGTAGCACTACATCAGTGACAGAGTCAGCAACAGCGCTGGGATCATCCGGCGAGAAGCAAACCCGCCCCCATGGGTAGGAAGCAAAGAAAGACCGCATTCCGTCCCAATCCGCCGACCTGTAATGCCAAACACGGCGGCAACCTGCAGAACGCAACCGCGAGGGGAGCGTGAGTGGCACCACACTCCGGATCAGACAATGGTCCGAAGAGCCAAGAGGGGCATCGACGGAAACCTGATATCCGTCCGGATGAGAGGTCAGCAGAAGGTCCAACAGGGAAGGTGTATGATCCTCAACATCTGGAATCCGCGTAGGCGATGTAACCAGTTGTGTCAGACCATATGCCAAGGCAAAGTCATAAACAGATCTTCCCGCATGATCGGTTAAACGTGAACCGAGCCATTCGGCGTGGTGGGCGTTAAAATCGCCAAGGAACACGATCTCTGCGGATGGGACCTGTTGTAGCAAGGAATCTGTAGCCATTTGGACGTGGTCGATGAGTCGGTCTGTTTCGGCATTACCGCTATGGGACCTATAGAGGCACACGTAGACGCGCGGATGGTCGTCGCTGTCTACGCGTAGCCAAAGGATGGACAGGTCCGAACCTTCAAGACTGCCGAGGCGTCGAGAACAGATGTCCTCTCTGACATACACGCAAACTCCAGCCCGAGGCACAAAGGAGTGCTCCAATTTGTACCCCGGGTAGGAGAGATACGAAGTATCAGCCGGAGAGGACACCTGCGTCTCGGTCAGAAAGAGCAAGGCCGGCTTCGCCGTCTCAAGATGGTAGTGGACGGCGTTTAGGTTCGAGTGAAGTCCCCTGATGTTGCAGAAATTCACGGATAGCGTGGCAGGGGTCGCCTTGGTCTTGTTGCTCAGTTTGCCCCGAGCAGTTATTGTGTTGAGCGGAATTTTGCCCCCCCCAGAATACGCGGGGCAGCCTGAGCACCACGCCTGGGGTAGTTTATGACGTAATTCCGCTACCATGTTGATGGGGGGGGGGGGAATTGGGCATCCGGTCACCTGCACTCACCAGACGAAACGCGGAAACAGAGCTTCCACTTCACGCCGGTATTCTGTGAGGTCGTGGTACTAACCCGGCTCGAGCCGGCCCATACGTGCAACAGCAAAAGCTGCTGCAAGAAGTATGCTGCTGAAAGAAGCCGCTTTTACAACGAAGTCCCAGAAAATATGCTAGTCTTTACTTTGGCTACTAAAGAATACATGAGTGATATCTTATATATATCTTATTTTATACCAATTGCATCAAATAATATATTTATTATAAATTAATTTTATTAAAAATATTCCGCTGGGTTTCTTGCTGGTTCTTCCCAGGACAGAGGGTTTTTCGAACCATTCTTGTAATCTATATTGAATATAAGTGGTAAAATTAAAAATTTTGTGCAACCGACTTCAATATAAATAAACCTAGCAAGCTAACAGCATAGCAAAGTGGCGAAGCAATCAGCTTTGTAGCGGTTTCTAACGGTTGCCGTTGAGAAATCAGTTTCAAAATAGGAGGTTCAGATGCCTGGGTGATCAGTAATCGATTGCTGAAAACAGAATTTGAAATTTCGAAACCGTTCTCGAGATAATCGTGGGACAGACGGACAGACGGACAGACATCGTGAAATCAATAAGTGACTTCGTAAGCTTCGCCACTTAATAAACTGAGAACATCATCAATGTAGTCGAAGTCAATTAAATACTCATTATTAAGGATAACTGAAAAACAACTGGTCAGATTGTGAGCATTTATATGGACCGCAGCAGCAGCAGCATCTTTCAAATAAAAAAAGAATCATCAAAATCAGTTCACCTAGAAAAAAGTTGTGAGATAACACACAAAAAAATGCAATCGAATTGAGTACCTCCTCCTTTTTTTGAAGTTATTTAAAATGATTCCATGCTATTCTATTTTAGATCTCTTTCTGCCTATGAATCCATTGAGAGTAGAAGTACCACCCTGTTACCTATTTCTGCGACCACGCGGCAGTGGTATAGAGAACCAGTAAAATTACAGGCTATGGGGTATTCCATCCCATAGCCTGTAATTTTTATTACGTGGTAGAGCCATGCTGCAACTATATTAGTAGTATAGTTGTAGCACGAATGGGTCGGCTCGACCGGGGAAGGACCACGCTCTCACAGAATACCAGCGTAAAATAGCGGCTCAATGCTGCTGTGTTTCGTATGGTGAGTGTAGAGAACCGGAGACCCTTTTTACTGGAACAGGGGCATTCCATCTTAGTCCTCCCGGGTGACAACGCATCTGCATTTTGATTCGCAACGAGGATAGATGTAGATGTCTATGGGCCGTAACAACCACTAACCATCAGGTGGACTGTGTGCTCGATTGTCACCCGATGCTATAAAAAAAATCCTTAGAGATGACAACATCTGTTGCCTTCTTTGCTTGAAGTTGGTTGTTTGGCTGTTGGTTGTGTAGGTGGTAGCCACTTCCATTTGTCACTTCAGTTTTATCAAAAGAAAAAGTCCTATTTCACATTTTTTCTCAATTTCCTTTTTACTGAAAATTGTAAGAAAATTTTGT